GTAAATGCATACACAGCTGTCTCTACGGTGGTGCGTTACATACGAGCGTACGTTCGTATGTACATCCATCTACGTGTTTATGACGATGAGTATCCATATGCTTAGTATTTTTATCTGATCTGTTTTTACTTACTTGTTATTGACCCTCCCACCTACATTCCCATGTCAAAAAAGCAGAAACACGGTTTTTACGTCCCATTGTTTTACCACCATTTGGAAAAATATTTGGGAGCTGGCCCTGTGGCCGAGTGACTAAGGGAACTGGATCCAACATGGCTGACCAGGCAGCTGGAGTCCTGGCCCTATATTCTGAAAACATGCTGGGGGTTCCCGTGTGTGTGTCCAAACTCCTGACAGTGCAGCGATGGAAAAGAGACTGCAGCGTGAGCACACCCAGTGGGGAGTGCTGGCTCCCTCTCCTCTCTCTGTCTCTCAGTCTCTCTCTGGCAAGGGCACATACCCTTTGACAATAAACAAATATATATTGGGTCACTGGAAAAGTCATGACACATTTTTAGGGACCAGCAGATGGCATAATGGTTACGTCACTGGACTCACACATAGTCAACAGCGGTTTGAGTCCCAAACTCAGTGGTTTAAAACTCACACCAGGCACGTGTGTGTATGTGTGTGTGTGTGTGTACACAAAATTGCAAGAGAAGAAAGGAGGAGAAATTGCAGCATGGCCATCCCCTCAGGGGGTGGTTTCTCACTTTCTCTCTCGATCTCTCCAGTGAATGCGTAAACACTAGAGTCAAACTGGAGGAAATACAAAAAAGGGTGGTGCCTCTCCAGGTGGTGTGTCCAAAACAGGGGAGGCAAAGCCACCCTTTCTGCTCCGGTCACTCAGGAGCCCTGAGGACCAGCCCCTCGTGGTCCTGGCCCTCACTCTGCAGAGCCAGCAAGGGCTTGGTGATTTCCAACAGGGAGAGCATCCCCACTCGTCCTGGACTCTCAGGGCCAACGTGAGTCAGATTAAGGTCAGAATTCACAGATTCTCAGGGAGCCTGAGAATCCAGGGAAGAGGCAGGGGACCTGCCACACAGGGACAGGGGTTATTGAGGGACTGCACCACGTTCTGTCAGGAGAGGTGGGGACAGAGGACACAGAGCCCGGGGAAGGCTGGGTCTCGAAGCCCTCACCAGCACTCTCTCCTCACTGGCTCTCAGGCGCAGCTGCCACCATCAGCCCGTCACCTCCCAAGTCAGACTCCGAGACCGGTGAGTGGGAGAAGGTCCCAGCTGTGGGGCTGGACTCACAGGGTCAGG